ATTTATTGCATTAGATATACTGAGAAAATTGCTAAGGGGCAATAAATTGAGCATTAATCCTATTTATTTTCACAACAAAATAAATCATTTGGAATCTATTTGATGGTCAACTTTGCCGAAATTAGCGATTTGGCGTAGTGAAAAGTAACAACTTATCAGAATTTTATGAACTTTTCCTCTCACCTTTTGCACCTTATTTGGCAGTGTGAGTGTCATAAATTAATGCTCGACTGATTGATTGGCAATTTGCATAAATGGTGGGACTGAAAAAGTGTGTCTGTCGGAGGAGGTTCTTTAATAAATCATTTGGATGAGGCAAAAACCATCAATAATAATGAGTGATAAGGCTTTGGCATGATAATTGGAGTGATTGTGAGGTAATTGTTGGTACAATTGGAACTCAAATGTTATGTCAATGAATGGTTTGGAATTGTTCCAACTATGAAATAGAGTAATTGATTAATTCCTTCGTGATTTATATTCATCCAGCCAATAACCTGAGCTGATTCATTATCCCAGTGCTTAATTAGAATATCTTGAGGATTTCATAAGCTCTTAAGTGTGGAGAAAATTTATTCACTTTCTCGCAATGTCACTGCTTAATTGCAAATGTCATATGTAACAGAAAAATTTTGCGAAATTCACGAAAACCAACCTATTTTTCCTCTCACTCACAATTACGGAAAATTATATTGTACAAAAGGTTGTAAAACATAAAAGTTTATCATATTCGCTCAGTAAATTTTTCCTCTTATGTAACTTCACAATTGTATGCATTTGATTTCCTGATGCTTTTTCATGATTTCTTTCTTGCACCAGCACACATAAATGAAAACAGCACATATTTAATAGTGATTGCACGGCTTGATAGTGGTTGAGATTGCTGCAATAATATATAGCGCGTCTCAGTAAATACCTTTCGCACTACTTCACCAGCACATATAGCGTTATAACCTTGCGCCAAACTGCTCTTTTAACTCTACGCACGTCATAGAATTGGTGTATATTTGTAGGGCAGTCGGCTAACATTGGTGGATTTTTTTCTTCCAGGAAAAATCAATATGTGAAATTTTCAAATGGACAAATTTTGTGCTTTTGTCAAACTAAATTGTGATTGAAAGTCAGACAAATTTCGTGTGGAAATTCAAGTTTTCGCTTCCTTTTGTGCCACGTGAACTTGACCTATGAGCTGTTGCGAGAAGATCATTGCACGATAAATCTCGCGACAGAGAAAAATATATATTTCTGAGAAAGAACAATGTTTGCACAAAGGACAAAGACATCGTGAATGTTGTGTAGTTCATTGGACTCTCACTCGACGGTTGGAATTATCTTCCTAAAATTCATATTTTAGACAATTTCAGCACTGTCACGTGCGGAATGTTTGGCAAGAAAAATATATTATTATTTCTTTCTGTCTCTTTGCGCGATGGACAGCATTGTGGACTTTGATGTGTGTTTGTGTGTGAGAAAATTGACCTAGAGAATTTTTATGTGAAATACAACATCAAATTCAAACGTCAAATTCAATATTCAACAAATCAGAGTCAGTGAAACTGAAGGCCTGATTTTCGATAGTGAAGAAATCCATACATTAATCTCTTTGATAATGAATGATAATTCAATGGAGTGGGATTGAGAGCTATAAAGTGATTTTTCTGAATTTATACATTTTATGAAAATCAACTTTTGGATCTTCTCTAACCATGTATTATGTCATTTTCTTAAATATTCCATGCTTTGTCAGCTGAAAAAGGGCGATATTTTGTGTGGAATGATAATTAATGGTTGAAGAATATAATTCAAATCTTTACGACAAATCTGTCTAAAGTTAAGTACTTGAGTTGATACTGCGTGTAAATTAGATAATTGAGCATTTCAAATTCTTACTCCACTTGAAGGTTGGCATTAAATTGCAATAATCGGACAATTTTTATTGCAATTCAATTTTAAAGGCCTGAAAATTAAAAACCACTCACTTTATGATGTGGATATTTGAAAGCCAATTGGAAATCGCAACTCTCGCATGAATTTCTTGTGAATATGAATTAAGTCAGTGCACAAACTGTGTATGAAAGACAAGTTCAAGTTTACACCATAAATAATGCTTAAGAGTGAAATACAATAAGAGTCTTTCGGGAAAGCCGCGCACTAAAAATATGAATCACGGCTTCTTGCAACACGTCTCTGCATGAATTTATGCAGAATTTATGCCATTGTCAGTATTGCCAAAAACAGATGCACCGCTGTGTGGGTGAACGGAAGTGTCTTGTTGTGTTTTCTGTGCAGAAAATAATTAATGATGGTTTCTGCAATTCATTGAGTGTACGCGATATTGACGGGATAATTGCCTTGTCTTTTTCTCTGCACACTCGAGTCAGTCTAAAGTCAATTTCATACCTTGATTTGTTGGCTTTTTGAGTGATTTTTTTTCTGAGTGTAAAATTTCCCGCTGAATATGCATGTTTGAGCTTACTTATGGCAATGATATGATTATTATTGCCATAAGATGTTTATCGCAACACATGGCGTTGTCTTTGAATTGTTTAAAATTTTTTGCCAACTCTAGAGGTGAAAAGTACACACAAAATATCTCTATTTATACCCAAAAAGTGTCTGGAAAAGTACCTTCAAGTGTTGTGAATGAAAATTATATTTAAAGTTGTTGTAAGTTTTTTTGTGGGGGGAATTTCTGTCTACTCGTGTTTCGTCGCGTGATTTAACACCGTAATGGCTTTTGTGTTGAATTAGAAATGCCAAGAATTATTATGTATGGCGAATTTGGTAAAGAAAGACCGCGCGAATATGAAGAATATTCGAAAGGAAGACCTATTTCTGGTATGAATAATTGCGATTCAACTTGTTGAAGTATCGAATCAATCTAGCCAGACAGAATTGGGTCAAAGCACTAGACAAGAAGTTCTGGCAAAGAATTATTTCTTGGACAAAAAAAAGCCCACAAAATAACTGTGAATAAGAAGCAAAAGATTTGGCAAGAGATATGAAATGAAATTGGAACTTGAGAGAGAACATTGATCCCGTTGTGCAAAAAGCTCGCTCTCTCTCAGATCTAGTATTTTACGTCCGAAAGATAAAGGCGATGATTGACGAGTGTAATTTTCTTAATTGCTTTCTTAGATGTTCTTGATAAGTGCATTTTCTTAATGAATATTTTGCTGATGCCATTGAATTTGTGTAATAAAATAGTTGATTTAGATTCAAGTTTAGATTTAATTGAAGTGTATTTACTATCTAATTATCATTCTTTATTTGCTCTTCCATAAATCTCATTTGTTGATTACAAATTATTCACCGGAAAATTCTACACGTAATTTTCACATTTAAGCGTTGATCTTTTTATATTAATTAAAAAAAACAATACAAAAATTACTAATCAACTATATTTAAGGTGTGAACAAATTGAGCAATTCACCTTATGGGCTGTTTTTTCTTCTTCGTTCACACCGTATCAATCACATTTCTGAGTCTGAGTAAAAATTATAACTTTAAACACTAGCCTTAAGATAATAATTCACATATTTTCCGTCTTCTTCCTTATAGAGTAATATTGTACAATAGCTAATAAGTTAGTGGTGTAAATCTATATACATGAGGTGTTCGTTTTTTCTTCTCCTGACTTCTTCATCTTACATTTTTATACACTTTTTGTGTGGCATTTTTCCTTGACTTTTCCCTCCTCGTGCGGCGCACGAACACGGTCACACGGGAGAGGTGGCTTTTTTTACTGCTGCGCGCGTTCTTCACTGTGCATAATTCCAGTCTTCCTTAATAAAGTCAGCCGCACGCTCGGCTATCATGAGTGTCGGTCCGTTGGTGTGTCCTGCCGGAATTTCCGGTATGATGCTGGCGTCGATGACTCGGAGATTGCTGATGCCGTACACGCGCAAGCGGGGATCCACGACGGCTGTGGGGTCGGACGGGGGGCCCATTTTGCATGTGCCCGAGTAGTGGTAGATGGTGAGTGTCAAGTGGCGGATGACACAGTCCCAGTAGTTGTCCGAATCGACGCCATGGTGGGCGCATGTGGGCACAGGGTGGTCATAGTCGATCAATTTGGCGTCTATTTGTGCCAGCGACGGCATCTTCGCCAACTCCTGCACTTTCCTCACCCCCCGAAGCACTGTCCGCACGTCTCTGGGGTCGGAGAAGTAGTTGGCATGGATTCGGGGGTGGGAGAAGGGGTTGGTGTCGCGCAGTGTTATCCTGCCGCGGCTCTTGGGGCGCAGAATCATGGGCCAAATCTGAAAGCCGTTCTGCATGCGACGCTCCATGTCATGGTAAATTGTGGCATAGATTGATGTGCGGATGTTGAAGTTGTCTCTGTAGATTGAATCGCCGTACAATGTGCCGCCAATTTGGAACAGTTCAATGTCCGGCCATCCATCAGGATCTGTTGGATTGTCAAAGTCATAAAATGCCACGGCTTCGCAGGCGCCAATTGACGAGATGGGACCTTTTCGTGTGCTCTCGTACTTCAGCAAATTCGGCACTGTGGCGATATTTTCAATAAACATCGAACTAATGTTGACTGTGAGGGCAATGGGAACTGCTGTGTGATCCATCAGGTTGTAACCCACCGCCAAGTCCATCAAGGGTGTGATTCCGTGCTCACGGAGATGATCTCCGGGTCCAATGCCCGAGAGCATCATCAATTGCGGGGTGTTAATTGTGCCAGCCGACAGGATGACCTCTTTTCGCGCAAACACTTGATACAACTTCTTGTCGCTGACAAATTGAACACCATAAGCTCTCTTTGTTGCCGGATCTATGAGGATTTTCGTGACAAAGCTCTCCTTCTTGATGTGCAGGTTGCTTCTGGTGCCTCGAATGGGGTAAATATAGGCCACATTTGCACTCTTCCGCAGGCCATTCTCGGTGGTTGTTTGGAAATATGAGTAACCCACTTGAGTCGGACCATTGTAGTCCACATAGGATGCTCCGTTTTCCAAGCCCGCCTTGATGAAGGCTTTGGCAATTTTGGTGTGCCAATTTGGGTAGGAGATCGACATGGGACCGTCTGTGCCCAAATATCCTGGCACGGCGTCCCTGATGAAGCTCTTCTCCAGCTTCTGGAAGTACGGATGAACGTCATTCCAACTCCAGCCGGGATTCCCCATTGCCGCCCACCGGTCGTAATCACGGCGATTACCGCGAGTGTAGATCATGTAATTGAGCACACTGGAGCCTCCCATGACTTTTCCACGTGGCCACTTGCACTGATTGTTGTTCATGGCCAGGCACGAGCCATTGGAACTCTCAGTCTTGTAGTGCCAATCGGCATTTGTCTGCTGCAGATAGTGCACAAACATGGGCACATCCATCAGGAGATTCTCCCGCGGACCGGCCTCGAGGAGCAACACTTTCCACTCCTTGTTCTCGGTGAGGCGATTCGCGAGCACACATCCCGCCGAACCGGCACCCACGATAATGAAATCATACTCCTGATTGATAAAGTAGTTGTTCTGCTCGAATGTGAGTCGCTGGCCGCCTTCCTCGAGGAAGTTCTTGAGGGAGAAGACGGAATCAATGATGACTTGGCCATGTTGACATTCGCAGTGTTGCACAAAGAGCACGTGAATAAGAATGAATGATATTCCCGTGAATTTCCACATTTTAATATTACTTCCACTTCACTTGTTCTTCTCTCAGAGCGGTTAACATTTACACATTGCACTTCTCTTTCCTTCGTGTGTTCCTTTCTTTTTTTTCTCGGAGTCCCGGAAGCGATGCACTGTGTGTTGAGATTTCACAAGAATGAAGAATTCTGCAGCAGAAGCTGAGAAATCATCTCCGATGCTTGCTCACAAAGATCACGACTAAATGCCACACATTTTTATTCACATTCTCAAATCAAATGATTTGACGTAGTATGGAAAAATAAAAAATTTCAATGATATATTTTTGCATAAACTTCCATTCACTGGACAGGGAGTTTGTAATAATAAATTTTACTTCTTCAACGTGCGCGTCTATCGCCAAAAGGAATGTAACAAGCGAAAAAGCGATCCAGTCAGTCTGTGAGTCGATGTAGATCTGAGAATGAGGCAGAGTTTCCCCCGTCTATATTTATAAGATTCTCACGGGCACATGGTGTTGAGAATATGGTGTAAAAAAAAGGTGATGCATATTAAATTCGCCACATAAAGCCCACCATAAGCTTCAACTCTTGTACGGTGCTTTTCGGTGTGACACTGACCAACGCACACCAGTTTATCTCTCGCTTCAAGTCCTTGGAGGTCAACAAAATGTGCAGGAAACGAGTTTTTCGAATTTTTTAATATTTTTTATGTCCTCCCCCCAAAAGCTGATCCGAATTTTTTACGTGTATTTTTCTATTTCACAACCGTGGACGGTTGTTTTTCTTTCGGCATGACTGCGATGTATCATAATGGACACATTTTCTCACCTCGAGCAGCAAAAACTTTATCTTCTGTAATATATTGCATTTTGGTGGCTAAATACGCATTTTGTCGATGTTGTGGACTTTCTTCCGGTGTTTTTGGCGGAAAGAGCGAATGCTACAGCAGATGCAAATGTATCTGTGCTGAGGTTGAGCACACTTGGCGGGGAGAGAGATTGATTGTGGCTGAGATTGGGAATGAGAGGAAGAAAAAATGCACACTGGATAAATGGTTTTTTTTCTCTCATTTATTTATGTATTCATTGAAAAACACAACAATATTTTGTTTACAGCAAATTTGAACAATATTGCATAAAAACGCATAAAACGGTTTATGTGGTGTGTTATCTTGAGAATTTATCACGTTATACATTTGAGATTACTGCATTCACTGCATTCATCTTTAAGGGCTTCACATTTTCCCCGCAATTTATATTGGAAATATTAATGCATTGTAAATTCGATTTACATTTTGAAGATGGAAAAAAGTGCGCTTCAGAAATTGATACAATTGCCCTATTTTTGTCATAAATAACCTTACAATTTATTTGGTGCAAGATAATTAAGTGGATTTTAATTAGTTATAGATTTAACAGCTGGTTTTAACGGCTGATATAATTCATTTCGCATTCTGCCATTACGGTTAATAATGCGTGTTTTCAATTGTTGAGTCTCAGGGACAATGGACCTTTCTAAACCTCCGACGAAGATAGTAATCGATGTAAAATAATTTAATTATTCATGTATATTCTCTAAGTGGCTGTGCATTAAAAAAAACAAAAAGATATTTAAATGAATGCAATGAACTCGAGCATTTGGCCTTTAGGCTCACACATTGCGGTTGTTCTTCACTCTCTCTTATCATTAAGTTTATCACTGTTTTTTTATGCCAAATTCCTGCGCTAATGATGGCGCTTTGGATTTTTGTGGGTGAGGCAGCATAAAAATAGTCTTCTTCCTCAAGTTATCGCCTTAGCTTTAAAGGACGATTCAATTTCGCAAGTGATTAAGCGTGGCATAAATCACTTAATTGACGCAATAACCGTGGAGTCTTGCGCTCAACATCTTCACGTCTGTTCGCTCAATTTCCGATGAATTATCGTGATATGAGGTTGAAGTGAGCAAAAAAGCATATGTACCGTATATGCATGCATGTGGCTTTATTGGGGGGATTCTTTTTGAGGAAGTAATCTGGCGGATGGAGATTCTTTGGACAAGTTATGCGTCCATCGACCAAAATATTGAAGGTTGCACCTCATAATAATTGAGGTGTTTGCTCGTTTAAGGGTCATCGAGTGTACAATATTCAAGAGCCATCAGTGGCAGTGGGAAAAAATGCGAGAGAGATGAAAAAAGTGCGGCCAATTATAGTTCTTGCATTACACAAGATTACAAAGCGTTCTTTGAGGATTTAACATGTTTGTTTGTGGTTCACATGAAACAATCAAGTGACTCTGAATGACGTTTCGGGTGAAAATTATAACTTGAATTTACATCAGGGAATTTCCCCAGAACAATGCGATGCAATGCAATGAAATTTATAGTAATAAAATGAGTCATTTCGAAGGGAATAATTGTGAATCTAGCATTTTATTGAATTCACCTTTGCAATGATCTTCAGACGGTCAGTCTTGTTGAGTTGGTAACATATGTTATGTATACACTTCCTCTTTATTATTGATCTTCCATCACATCGCGACTGGCAATTAATTTTCTCAGCCAGGGATAGATTTTTCCTTTAAAGTCATGCTATTTAGCCTAATGTCTCATTATCTGTCTACGAATGAGATAATAATTGAGGATGTACTAATAGCGCTGATTAGCTGCAATCAGAATCTCCAGTGCTTTCAATAATTACATTGTTCTACAGTCGATATTACACCATAAAGACAAAAAATTTACATAAGAAATTGTAACGTAATAATAACGCTCTACACAATATTTACAGAATTATGTACAATCTTCTAGAATAGAATCTAAAAAAAGCACTCCTAATTCTTGCATATCATTGTTTAGCACTTCTCATCTCTTGTGTCAATCTCTGCAATTTAATTGTATACATTTTTTCTTTGATTCGAGAAATGGCACAACACACTCTTGAGTTTTTTTTTCTTCATCATTACGCAAAGCACTTGAATTTCAGTTACTTCTTCTTAATTCTAAAAAAGCATATACAGAATTTTTAACGGTGATGTTTTATCACTCACAAATTCTTCAATCAATTTTCACCTGCGCACGTGTGAAAATCTTAAACGCGCGTAATTTTTTTTACAGTTTTGTGCCAAAAGGTGTGAACTGTATTGACAAGATTTTTTTCTTGCTTGCTAAAGCACTCAATAGTGATCATTGAGTGGATTTAACACAAACTCATCGCCCAACCAATCTTCCTTCACCAAATCGGCTCCCTTCTCGCCAATCATGATTACTGGGGCGTTTGTGTTGCCACTTGAGATTGTTGGCATAATACTGGCATCGATGACCCTCAGACCGGAGACACCGTAGACACGCAAGCGTGGATCCACGACAGCTTCTTTGTCCCATGCGGGACCCATTTTTGCCGTTCCCACAGGATGATAAATCGTCATTGAGATTGTTCTTATGTGACACTCAATGTATTCGTCTGACCAGAATTTCAAGTGTTTGCAATTGGGAAGTGGCTTTCGGTAGATTCTCGACCCGAATTGCTTGAAGACTTTGGCATCGGCGACTCTCTTTGCAATTTTGGCACCTTCCACCAGTGTCTTGATGTCGTGCGGATCCTTAAAGTAGTTGGGCTCCATGATGGGCGCCTGGAAGGGATTTCGCGAGTACAGACGAACCCATCCTCTCGATCTGGGTCGCAGCAGGAGAGGAATTATCGTCCAAGCGTCCTCCTTGGCAATGGGATGATACACTTCGCGGTAGAGACTCTCCTTCAAGCCCAGAATCTTCTTCACCTGATCGCCACCGTCTGAGTTGATGGACGCCGGCGCCATGTGGAACTGAATGTCAGGCCAGTTGGCGGACTTGTTGGCCAGTGGTGTGTTTACAAATGCCAGACCTTCAACCCCTCCTAAGCTCGTCATTGGGCCTCTTTCATTCACCACATAATGCATCACCAAAGCGCCGGCATTCATGCGTGTCGGAATGAGTGTCACGGGTTTGTCCACCAAGAATGTCAATCCCGCCATTCCCACGTGATCCTGAAGGTTGTCACCCACGGGAAGGTCGTGCAGGAGATCAATTCCCTTCTCTTCCAAGTGTTCTGCCGGTCCAATGCCCGAGAGCATGAGAATTTGTGGCGTGTTTATGGCTCCGGCTGACAGAATGACTTCTTTCTTGGCATTGATTTGATAGCGTTTGCCATTCTTCACGAACTCCACGCCATAAGTTCTCTTTGTGTTGGGATCAATTAGGATTTTTGTCACGTGAGAATTCATGCTGAGGTGAAAGTTCTTTCGCAATCTGATGGGTCTGAGGAAGGCTTTGGCTGTGCTGCATCTGCTGCCGCGTCTTATTGTGCCTTGGGCGATCATGAAGCCCTTTTGATCTGCTCCATTGATGTCTCTGTTTGGGTAGCCAATTTCCGTGCCCGCCTCCACAAAGGCCGCCACCAGGGGTGAATGCCACGGTGATTCTTGAACTGTGAGATATCCGCCAGTGCGATGATAGCGACTGGTTTGGGCTAAGTAGGGATTTCTGTTGTCTTCGGATTTCTTGAAGTAATGCAGCACATTTTCGTAATTCCACCCGGGATTTCCCAGTGATTCCCAGTAGTTGTAGTCATTCTTGTTGCCTCGCACGTAGAGCATGTAGTTGAGGACACTGGAGCCGCCGAGGACTTTCCCGCGTGGCCAATTGCAGCGATTGTTCACCATTCCGAGGCATGATGTGTTGGAGGAGCGTGTCTTGTAGCGCCAATCGAGTTTGCTGAGCTGCAGATAGGCGGCAAGTGAGGGTGTGTCTGAGATCTCATTCTCATCGGGACCCGCTTCCAGGAGCAGCACCTTCCAGTCTGGCACCTCGGTGAGTCTGTTGGCCACCACGGCGCCCGCCGACCCAGCGCCGATCACGATGAAGTCGTACTCGGGCAGAATGACGCGTCGATCGAAGGGTCGGGACTCGGGATCGACGCGATCGTAGCGATAGAAGGAGATTGCGGCCAGGAGGAAGGGAATCACCCAGAGACTAGTTGTTATCACACCGAATGTCGTATTGATCACAGATGAGGCTATCAAGATGTTGAGCACCATTTTTTTCGTCTTCTTCTTCTTCGGTCTGCGCGCGTCTCTCAAGTGGGGAATTTCAACCTCAATGGCTTGGCGGCAAAGGAGGATGCTTGCTTTTGTCTGCCTCAGTCACTCCTTGACTGGACATTGTCGATTTTTGGGGGATGAGATGATCACTCCGCCATATAAGATGATTCTGCGGAAGAGTGGAAGAAAAGAAGAGGCGTTGTGAGGAATTTCATTGAAATGAATATTTGCATTGTGAGTTGAAATTGTTTGGGAAATCACTCTCAGACGCATCTTCTGCGTGGTGAAAAACAATGAAGGAATTCCCTCTCTTGGCTGATAATTGGTGATTCCCTGTGAGGTGTGAAAGATCTTCAGTGGTTATTGCTATTGACTGCCA